AAAGGGGGGGGGGGGGAGGCAGGAAAGAGAGGGAGGGAAAAGAGGAGACGAGGAGGGGCCTGTCCCTGGAGAGGCCGTGGGGCTCCTAAATGCCCGCGGAGTATTTCATTCTTTTCTGTTTCTGCCTCTGGTTGCAGAACCAGACGCGCACCACGTTCTTCTTGAGGTCCAGCTTCTCGGCGATGGCGGCGATCTTCTCGGAAGAGGGCCGCGGCTGGATGGCGAAGTAGGCTTCGAGCGAGCGCTTCTCCGGCGCCGCGATGGACGTGCGCTTGCGCTTCTTTTCCGCGCCGTTGAAGAGCTCCGGCTTGGTGAGCTTCTCGCGGTGAGACTTCTCCGCCTCCTCTAGCCACGCTTGCAGGATGGGTTTGAGCGCGATCATATTGTTGTGAGACAACGTGAGGGACTCGAACCTGCAGATGGTGCTCTGGCTGAGCGAGCCCACGCCGGGGATCTTGAGGTTGGCCAGCGCGGAGCCCACATCGGCCTGGGTCACCCCTAGCTTGATGCGTCGCTGCTTGAAGCGCTCGGCGAACGCCTCCAGGTCCCGGGGGTCGGCGTCCACGTCGCTCATGCAGCCCATGTGTGAGGGCAGCCCGTGCGCGTGGGCCATGCTGAGAGCGGCTTGGTGCATGGGGTTCATGGTAGCCATGGGCGGCGCGTGAGCTGGAGTGGACACCACGGCGCCGTCGGGGCCCGCCATGGCACCCAGCGCTAGCCCGGGACTCAGGTGCTCCAGCAACTCGCCCTCAAGCGCCTGATGAGGCTGATGGTGGTGATGGTGGTGGTGGTGGTGGTGGTGGTGCGTGCCAGCCAGCGCGGACGGGTGCGAGATGGGCACCGACGAAGAGGAGGCAGCCGACGTGCACGGGATGGTATTCATGGTGTGGTAGGTGGCGTCCGGCTTGAAGGGGCTGTGGTGGGGCGGGTGATGGTGGTGGCTCTTGCTCTGGGAGACGATGTCCACCGCCGCCAGAGCCTCGGCGCGGGCCAGCAGGCTCTCATCCAGCCCGCCGAATATATTGCTCTGCAATTGCAAGTAAAAGGCACACATCACTCTCAGCGGGGAATTGTGCGCACTCTCTCCGGAAGCTCCGGCCCAGAGCTCGACACCGCCGCCGCGCCTACAACATTCCCAGAACGTTAAAAATAAATTAAAAAAATAATAATAACAATCCTGAAACTAGCAGGTGAGGAGGAGCGGAGGGAAGCCACGGAGAGAAGCCACGAGTGCACGAGGAGGAGGAAAGTGAGCCTGCAAACACAACACAACGCAACGCGCGCACAGGCAACATTCCAGGTCTTAAAAATTAATATGAAAGGAAAGACCCTCTGAATACATAAGAGGGGGGGGAAATTGGTTGGAGGTGCGGGGTGATTTGCTGTGCAGACATGAAAAAAACATCAAGCAGATAAAGGGGGCTGTCAAAATGTGCCTTTAAGCGGTGATTATGCAGAAATACGCACCGGTGGGGTTGGAAGACATGCTCTCCGCATCGCCTCGGAGCCCCCGCCGCTGCCGCCACTGCTGCCACTGCTGCTGGAGCTGCTGCTCCGGCCTCCACCGCCCCCGCCACTGCCGCCACCGCCGCCAGCATTGCTCGAGCTGCTAGGAGAGCTGGCGGAGGGCGCCGCGGGTGCAGAGGACCCGGGCGAGGCGCTGTGCAAGGCCGAGTACTTGGGCTCCACGTGCAGGCTGCCGCCGTGCGGCATGCTGAACGCCTGCTTGCTGTTCAGGGACATCATCATCATCTTCCCGGCCTGCCCGCGCGCTTGTATGTGGCGCACGCAACTGGCCCCGGTAGCCGGGACCCTCCGCAGAAGCGCTGGGCGAGAGTCGGAGAGGGGAAGAGCGAGGCAGAGTTGCGCTCACTCGCCGCCGCTCGGAGCTCGGCGCGCCTTGACCCGGCTACGCGCTCCACCGCTGGCTACGAGGTCAGTCTGCGCTGTTGCTGGGCTCCGCTTGGCGCTGGCTGCAGACCTGGGCATGCGAAACTGCCCCGCGCTTCGCGGCCGCCGAGTTATACTCCCCTCTCCCC